GCCTACTATGTTTCTATATGAAAAATATAACAGACAACGCTCGTATACTCACAATCTCTCATTAGATCATAAAATTAATTATTGCAACTCCGATAATATAGAAATAATGTGCCAAACAAATCAGAATTTATTTTTATTGGGCCATATACAGGATGTCCCAGAAATAAGTGCATGTATTTTAAGGGGTGGTAGGTCTCGATAAAAGAAACATATTTTCTCCTTATCGTTTTTCAAATAAGTCCAAAATAATGAAGTTATTTTACCTTGAAAATTTCCAAAAAAAAATTATTTTTTGCTAAAATTTTGAGAACCACTGGATCTTTTCTGGATTTTCTTTCTTGTAAATTTAATCTAATACCTATGTTGCCATATTATCAAGAAATTATATTTTTTAACTAAAAACTAAAAAAAAATCCAAAAAATTTCGAATTTTCAATTTTTTTTTTCGCGAAAGAAAACTCATAGGCGTGTTTCTGGGGTTGAACTATACTACCAGTTGAAATACTTGCACTTATTTCTGGGACACCCTGTAGAGTTCAGCAAGGCGCAAGTCTTTTCTGATTTAATTATTTTTGAGTCTCCTCCTTTGACTCTCCTCCTAATCTGCATGCAAGATCCCTATACTGTAGTGTGCATTCTGGATATTTATGGAACACCATGTACCTATGCTTTCATTTATAAGTATCAGTAATACAAAACGATAACATAAAACAAAAATAACAAGGATACAGAAAATTGTTTTTCAATAATATCAAGACATTATACATTTTTTATTCTTTTGTCCATTACAAATAGAGTTATGTATATTTTAAAACAAATATATAAGGTGAAAGTAAACTAAAAAAAGATTAATGTTCTTTTAATGTCTGTTTACTGAAATTATCTGAGTAAACTATATTACAGTCCCAGCAGAGTTTCTACTTAATCACATTAGGTGAAGTGTCTCTTCCATTAAGAAATCTATAATTTTATCATGATGTGTTTTATTTTTTTTTAATAGCTTACAAGTCAAGGTCTTTTTGAGGTAGGTAATTGTAGAAAAGGGAATAAAAGTTTTTTTATTTGTTCTATACTGCTCTTCAAATTCAATATTTGGTTGATTTAAAGTAATGATTTTCAACATCAGTATTTTTTGTGAGGTTCTGTGAGGATCAATCACAAAATAAGTTAAAAATAGCCTAAAATAAGAAATATACTGTATGATGGAAAAAAAACGGCATCAAAGACAGCTAAATAATGACAATCGATGATAATTTTGGGGAAGTCAATCTCTAGACGCCATTTACTAAAAATTGACAAAAAACTTGTCAAAATTAACACTAATTTTAAAAAGATTACAATAGGACAGGACGTTTCCAGACACACATCTATTTCAAAAAAAAATATTTTTCTTGAATTTCAATAACTACAACATTTAAAAATAATTGTTAATCCATATAAAAATAATTACAACCTTTCTAAGGCCAACAGGCAGTCAGCGCCATTACAAAATAAAAGAAGAGCACGAGCCAAGTAAGTGAGGTTTAGGGCTTGACCTCGCCAAAATTATCATCGATTGTCATTTTCCAGCCATCTTTGACACCGTTTTTTATCTTATGGTAATATCATGGCATATAAATCACACGGCAGGTCGACTCGCTTTGACGGGAACGCTACGCGCATACCCTTGCGCACGCCGCCATTATGGATGCCAGCACAGAATATCTAGCTACGCAATGGTGGTGTCCGCGACAGAAATTAACCAGTGTCGTAGTCAGTCGTAGTCCAGGTGGATGACACTTCTTATGGGAGAACTGGCAATGGTTGAAAACTTGACTACAAGCGATTTTCTCGGAATCTTCCTTACCGATAAATTATTGACAAGAGTGACAGATAAAACCTTGACGTTCTTTCAGTATTCCAGTTCATCTCTTTTTCTTTCTAAAGTGTGCGTTGAAAGGAGACAAAAATAATTTTTGGTGACCCATAATTTGTTATTCGAACACCACTTTTCTCCTTTTCGGGTCGTTGACGTTGACTTGTCGCCATTTTATTTCTTTTGTTTACACGCTGCATTTTGCTTTGCAAATTTAATACATAAATTATTTAGGCAAATATAGGTTTTAAAAAACTCCTCGGACTAACGTGCAGGTAAGTGTTGATAATTTTTTTTTCATCTTAACATGCTCATTGTCGTTCTCCTGATTTTAGGTGACAGAAAAGTATCATCAAATCAAAATGAATTTTATATTTTCCTTCCTATTTATCCTTCCTAAATATCAACGAGATGAGCCATCGGAAGAAAGGGACCATAGTACAAAACAGAAAGGTGATCTTTTTTCTTTCCACTTAGGATATTGAAATTATTATATACTGTAGTCGCGTTCGGCATTATGCTCTGAGAAATATAGATAAACAAAGAACAACAGATATAAAGCATCCCAGAGGAAAAGAGATGCAATACCTGTATGTACTCTCTCTGATATTTGTGAAAGTTACAGCAAAGTATTGTTGTAAATGACATCTTTTTGATCAACCTGAAAACTTCGAGCAAAAAGATGACATTTTCAACAATACCCTGACAGATATCAGAGACGATACCGGTTTTTCCCCTCTTTTCCCCTGGAATATTTTTAATTTATTATTCTTTGTTTATCTAGATTTCTCAGAGCACTATGAACGAACTCAGCTTGTATGTTTGAAATAATCGTCCAGTTGGCTTAAAAATGATGATCGATGACATTTCCCATATAATTTTACTTTCAAAATTATGATATATCTTTTATTTCTAAGCCATCTATGACGCCATTTTTTTCAGTTTTGTTATAATTAATTTTGTCTCTTGATTGTAGTAATACATGATGAGTACTTGTAACATTATTCTTTTCATTTTATTAATTTATTGTGGTGAAATTAATTTCTGTTGTATATTTGATATTGATATTAAACATATTTTTAAAAAATGGTGTATTTTTTGTGTTTTTGTGTATGTCATAATTAAAAATAAATGAAGAAATAATTTTTTTTTATTTTTTTAAACTTCCCGCCATGCGTGACAATTTAGTCCGTAGTTCCTACAAGCGAAATTGGGGGCGCTAGTAGCAGTAGACTTGTCAACAGTGTCAAATTTAAACGTCAATTTCACTTTCCAATATTTAGCAAGGCGCTCGCACTTCTTCTTGTGTATGTGTTTTGTGTCGTAGTCTTTGTTATCGACAACATACAGTTACGGCAGCTTTGAGTCAGTAACGTGCGGCTTAATTTATTTCAATTTCAATTTTATATTCTTTTCTTGAGTGATATATTTTGTTTATTCTGTGATATATTTGGTTTTTGTAGTTTAGTAGTACAATGGAAGTCCGAAATTCTTTTAGTTTTAATACTCAATCATTGTCTACGGCATTCAAAGTAATTTTTATTATTAGGTATCCTGCAAAATGACAAACAAGATTCATTTCTAAATTACTGTTTTTCTGATTATCCGTATCTATTTTTAATTTTTATGGATAGCTCATGACAATTCAGAGAGAAAAGAACAGAGGTCTCGTTGTTTTTTATAAGGTCTGCCGTTTTTAATAAGATGTTTGCCAGATCATTTTGGCAATTTTCAGTACCCGTATGTAATATTCGGACACAAAGTTTTTTAAATGTTCTTCTAAACTGGATGAATTTATTCTGAATGGGAATAATGATAGGTTTACTAGATATTGGAATTACAAGATAAAGTTGTACCAGATTTTTATGAGTGCAACTGTACACTCAAATCTCGCGACAAGCTTTTATATAATATAAAATTGTGCAATGACATTATAAGTTCATAATAAAAGTTTTAAAGAAAAAGTTTATTTTTTCTTTTTAATGTATTTAAATAAAAGCTTGTTTTTAAAAAGTTTTTTTTCTTAAATTTATTTTTTACTTTTTAAGTTATGCTGGTGCCACACACTTAAACTCAATTCTTTTTCTTAAATAACTACCTATGGGCATCCTAATAATATGTGTATCGATTTTCATAAAAAAAGAGAACTTAAAAAAAACGACAGCTGTCAAATTTGACAGTTCAAATGTGAGACAAGTAAAATGAAAACCGACTATGGGGTAGGGAGCATCCAATATATCGATTTTTATCAAAATCGGCCAACTTTGAGATTTTTTTGACAGCTGTCAAATTTGACAGCTCATTTTTTTTTTCTTTCCTTTTAACCGATGGCCATCCTATATATAGATTTTTATCAAAATCCGACAACATTGAATTTTTTTTGACAGCTGTTAAATTTGACAGCTTAATTTTTTTTTCTTTCATTTTAGCCCATGGCCATCCTAAATATCGATTTTTATCAAAATCGGACAACTTTGAAATTTTTTTGACAGCTGTCAAATTTGACGGCTCAATTTTTTTTTACGGCTTGGCTTTTAAAAATATAGCCAAACATTTATATTTAAATTCATCAGTTACTTTTCTTCCTTTAGTTGATTTGTTAATTTGTGCAATTTGAATATTAACAAAATTTGCTATGTCCATTGACTACTTATTGGGTATTTCTTTAATTCTTGTTTGTAACTCCTGGCATGTTTTTAATTTTAATTGTCTATTCTCTAAAGTTAAATGTTTAATTGATTTTTCATTTTTACTTTTTGAGGAGTATGCGCGGTTAACGATTCATTTGTTTAGATAAAAGTATTGTGTAAATAAAATTCAGTTTCAGTCATTTACAGTATTTTTTTAATACGACCATGTCTATCAATAGTTTATTTTCTGGGAAATTTTTTGATACGTTTTAATCCGGCCCTGACTCGGTACCCATAATGGTGTTTTCAAGGTCAAATTTTATAGAAATTTTAAACAATGGGATCTGGGCAAAGTTAGCCTGCCGTGTGATTTATATGCCGTGGTAATATGATAAAGCCTGAATTGAATCATGAAAAATTCATCATCCAAACAATGACAGAAAATGTAGTTTGCCTGTAAATTAAAACGACAGACACAACTGTCACTATCAGGGATCCTCTTACATTCGACTTACCTACAAATATCTTCGGAAAATGTGTCAAATGTCATATTTTTCTCTATATTAGCTGGAAATACTGCTGTAACCCCGCGAATTTTATTGCATGTCGAATTTCCACCATCCCAAACCGACAAATACGTCACATTTTCAAATCGAACCAGTGTTGCCGCTTCGTGCTTATTTTCTTGTCCGGATTTTACGGTAAAATAACCCTGATGTGTATTGTTTCTCTAAACAAAAGATAAAAATCTTGTTTTCTATCAAAATCAATTGAAAATATACAGGATCCGGCAATAGTGCGTCGGGCATCTGTAGCTCCTAAAATAAAAAACTTGAAAATTTTGTTTAAGTGCAAACCTAAAGTATTTACCAGGATGTATTTCAGGAAAATATTTTAACTTCTATAGGGTGGCTCAAAAAAGTGTGAGTGGACCTGGATAATTTTTTTAAATGGAACACCCTGTATATAAAAATAAAAATTATTAAAAATACAAGAACTGTTCTGAAATCAAAACTATTTTGAGTATTTACTTTAGATAGTCTATTCTTACTTTGCTATAAATATGGTAATCGTAAATCATACAGAATGTTCAATATTCTACGCCAAACATTCTAAAATATAAAACATTTTTTCTTTGTTTTTTTAAATGGAACATCCTGTATATTATTTTTTTATTAGATGGAGAGTTAAAAAATGAACAATTTTTGTATTTAAAATATTTCAAAATGTTTAATGCTTTATTAGATACACGTAGTATTATTTCATATGGCGCTTTCAACGGTAAAATACGAGAAAAATCAATGGATGGCTTTGATAAAAATTTACTGTGGAAAATGTCATATGAAATATGAAACCGGGAATATCTGCGAAACCCTTAAAAATTTTGAAATGCTCTAAATACAAAAAATGTACATTTTTTAATTCTCCATCTATTGAAAAAATAATGTACAGGGTGTTCCATTAAAAAAACGAAGAAAAATTATTTTATATTTTAGAACGTTTGGCGTAGAATTTTGAACATCCTGTATGATTTACGATTTTCATATTTATAGCAAAGTAAGTACAGATCATCTAAAGTAATCACCTAATATAGTTTTGATTTCAGGACAGTTCTTGTATTATTAATAATTTTTTTAAGAATGGCTGAAAAATATACAGGGTGGCGCACTTCATTCGCCTCGGTTGATTATACGATAACGGAAAGATGTAGAAACAAAATATTTTATGGGTATATGTGGGGAGTCAATGTACACAATTTAAAATTATTTTGAAATATACAGGGTGTCACAGAACTAAAATCCATACCAAAGTTATATTTTTTCTAATGAAACACCCGGTATTTAATTTCATTTTTGGATTCATGGACCCAAAAAAAGACATTTATTATAAAGGTGAAATATATTTAAAATCATTGGTTTTTGAGATATTTAAAGATATTTAAATATGCATGCTACAAGAGAATTGATTATCAATACCCTGTACATTACTTTTCAGAATTAATTCTTGTGCTGAGTTTAAAGGCAAAGAAATAAACTTTACTGAAAAATGTTATTGTTTCCTTAAATTTATACAGGGGTACCAAAGATTAGTGATCTATTTTAAGGATTTATTTTACATTAAAACTTTGTTATTTAAAATGCAACACCCTGTATTTTTTTAAACAAATCGAAGCAGACAGTTGGTAACTATTTTCAAAATCGACATTAGTTTATAGACTTTATTTAAATCTATACCAGTTTACTTTTATTTAATTGACCTACAATAGTTAAATAAATAATATTTATTTAATGTGTATTTATTATTCTATCAAGGAAAAAGAAGGAGTAGTTCTTTGTTTTATTTTACGATAACTTGTAGATATATGAATTTTTTATAAAAGAGCCAATTACGGTAAATTCAATTTCTTCACTTCCAACGATAGGTTTCTTCCTATCGCAAAAAGGACAAGTAGTTTTTCAAAGAAACGCTTATCAGGAAGATTCATATCTGGATATCTTTGAGCATTAGCTCTTGAGGCCAAGAAATAATTTTCCTCAAAAAATAAAATCACTAGTAACATATCCATTCGTTCCACCAGCAGATATGGCTTTATTTTTCTTCATAAAATAAAAAATACTTATTAAACTATTATAGGTAAATTTTAGTAAACTGTTTAAATAATAATGTCCATACACTAATATCGATTTTGAAAATAGTAACTAACTGTCACTAGAAAATTGGCGATACCAGCCATCTTGATTGCCATTTTATTTAAAAATCGCTTTTTATTCAAAATCTGAGATAGATAGGTATAGCAAACCCTAATATAGTTTGAAAGAACATTTGAATCTTCTTCGATTTATTTAAAAAAATACAGGGTGTTGCATTTGAAAAAAACAAAGTTTTTATGTAAAATAAGTCCTTAAAATAGATCACTTGTTTTTGGTACACCTGTATAAATTTAAGAAAACAATAACATTTCTCAGAAAAGTTTATTTCTTTACCTTTAAACTTAGCACAAGAATTAATTCTGAAAAGTAATGCAGAGGGTGTTGATAATCAATTCTCTCGTAGCATGCATATTTAAATATCTTTAAATATCTCAAAAACCAAAGATTTTAAGCATATTTAACTCTTATAATAAATACCTTTTTTTGGGCCCAAGAATCCAAAAATGAAATAAAATACTGGGTGTTCCATAAGAAAATATATAACTTTGGTATGGATCTTAGTTCTGGGACACCCTGTATATTTCAAAATAATTTTAAATTGTGCACATTGCCTTCCCACATATACCCATAAAATATTTTGTTTCTACATCTTTTCGTTTTCGTATAATCAACCGAGGCGAATGAGGCGCGCCACCCTGTATATATAATTTTTGTTTATTTATTAATATCTCTGAAATTATCGAAATATATTTATTCATGTTTTAGGATTATATAAAGTGATCTGAAAGGAAGCCAAAATTGCAATAATATACAGGGTGTTCCATTTAACCAAACTCATCCCGATCCACCCACACTTCTTTAAGCCACCCTATAGAAGTTAAAATATTTTCCTGAAATACATCGTAGTACATACTTTAGGTTTGCACTTAAACCAAATTCCCAAGTTTTTTATTCTATGAGCTACAGATGCCCGACACACTATTGCCGGACCCTGTATTTAAGCTAATCACCAAGTTGCAATAATAGGGTAAGCTAACTTAATATACCACCCAATAAACAAAAACCACCAACAGCATAAGAAAACAATAGAATAATATGCTGATGACATGAGATGGAGATGCTGGGTGCCGTTGTAAAACCATGTTAAGCATGTTGGTAAACTACATTAAGAATCGGTTCTTGAAAAAAAAAAATTTTTAATTTTTTAATAGAATTTAACGTTGAAAACACTTTCTAAATGATTCAGAACTCTTTTCAAGATTTCTGCACCTGCATAACGTTTTTCATAACTTTGCTTGTTCTGATTAACATTTCCTTACATAATCCAATGTCGCATAAAGTACATCTTCTCCGTCAATTTTCATCTGTTTCGCTTGACTCGTTTGTCGTTTGACTTGTCCACAAACTGCTCTCGTTGTGAAATCGTCGCTTTGAGACGCGTTCCTACAAAATCGGATGCCGTCAAATAAAAAGTTTTTGACCGACGTTGTCAAAAAAAGGCCATCGTTAACTCCAAATATGTTAGGCAAGCTTGTATCCAAAACGGGAAGGAAATCCTCAGAAATCGACTGTGCTAAGGACAACAAACTCTAAAAGAATAAAGCACTATTAGAAATCAATATTAATCAATATACCTATAGTCAGTAGTTGCGTTTATACTCATAGATTCAAAAGTTTTGTATTTTTCTTCGAAAATAAAGTTCCTTTCATCAAGACTAGACTAGAGACTTTCAAACAAAAGAGTATATTCGTTTAAAAAGTAAAGCAAAATAATATGAAACTGAGTAAACTGCAAATTTCTAATAAAAGCTATTTCTACCACATTTGATGCTGTTGAGAGTTGCTAAGGAAGAAATTGAGATATGATTAAAAATACGATTAATACGACACTAAAAGCATTAGACCATCAAATCTATTTTTCCAAAACTCCTTGATTAAAAATTAATGTTTTTAATACAACCATGGCAATCTAGATTGAAATTTAAAATACAATATTTATTTAAGCGAGAATGTCAAAAGTGTGATATGACATATGATACGTCATTCCATTCAGAGTGTCATTTTCTATCGATAAAAGTAAAAAAATACCGAGGGTGCCATTTAAAAATTAAAAGTTGTAATCATTTCGGGTGAAACAGGAAGTGACCAAAAACAATTGAATATGGCAATCAATCCTAATTTATGTCATATACTAACATACCAAATCTCGTTTCTTTATCTGAAAAAATAAAAAAGTTATAAGGGTGAGCCACTTTTGAGACGCACCCGGTATATTATGATTATAACCCACAAAAAATGTTTTCACAGGAAAAAAATCGACATTAAAACAAGGTGATGCAAAAATTTTGAATCTATGTATATAAAAATAAGAGTATCTGATCTATTTCTTTTTTACTATTGTTTTATATTCAACAATCTGACTTAAAAAATATTACTTTTATTGTCTGTCTTGCTTACGTTATAAGGTAAATTCAGTACTGTAACTACGTCACTTTCCCTGAAGCTGCCAGACCTGTTTTGATCAAATTCGTAAAATTCATATTCGTAATAAGATATTTCTTTTGTGTCGTAATTCCAGGAGACTGCTTCTTTCCATCTGTTCAGTCTAAAAGAAAACAATCAAAATAATTCATCTCTAAAGGCCATTTAAATCGACAGTTACAAAATTTTTTTATAATTTACAATGTCAATTACAATTCAAACAAGCACTGAAATGGCATCAGTTTGAAGCACTTTTTTAAAAAACAATGCAGAAGTATATTTTTATTTACGGTTGAATAATTTGTAGAATTGTAATAAATTATACTGGTATTAAATAAAAATTAGATACAAAAAATAAATCGTTTCTTCATTTTAAAAGTGAGGCGCGGCCTCAGAGGTCTACCCTGACGAGCCGCCACTGGGTTAAAATCTTCATTTTTTTTTCGATTTATTAAATCTAATTTTCTTCCAAGACTTGTTAATGATTCCAATAAAATGTTGAGAAGTTATTATAAGTTCTACATATTCTAATGTTAAAAAAATGTCAACAGATTTACCAGGGACGTCCTCCTAGTTTTTCACTGGAATATTTTTCTAAAAAAAAATGTGCGCCACTGACAATTTTTTTTCTCTTGTTATCAGAATTATGTAGGTCATTTAATGCCGATTAAAAGTTGTATAGGTATCTTGATATTTTGTCGATTTCGATCTCCTTGATGAGATAAACGCAATTTTATTAATCCGAATTAAAAAATTATAATAAAAATAATAAACAACAAAACAAACAACGAATCTTTTTTTTACAGTTAAGTTTTCCCATTTTGAATCTTTACACAATATTTTACGTAAAAATACAAAGTTGCACGTGCCATGGCCCATTTAGAAAAATAATAAATAGGGTTTTTGACAGACAGCTAAGTATAAAATAATCACCAAACTAAATGATAGATACCTTTAGGTTAATAAAATTAATCCAAACTATCAATTATTCTGAAATTGGCTTATTCTTTAATTAAAAATTATAATCTCATTTTTAAGGTGATTGGAATTATCCATTTAATAAGTCACATGGAACTTAGAAGTATTCTACACTATAACCGTTCGAAAGTAGATACACTGTAAAAAACAAAACATAATGCTCTGAATAAAATCGGAATTTAAATAAATCAATATTGCTCTTATATGTTAAAGTAATTTATTTCTAAAAATATGTATTTACAAGTTTCTAAAGTATTATTTTGCTTACATAAAATATTCATTAGGCAAGCGGTACCGTTTTATTTTTAAATAAATTGTTAAACTCAAGAGAGGTTGTTATCAACATCAACACCTTAAAATTTTCATGTATTTCAAAGTTCAATATACACAGGGTAGTTTCCACCCTTCCCGTACTTTTTCTTGATTTTTGTGAAAGCCAAATGTTAAAGCACTTAAAAAAATATAGAAAAACCTAAAATCTCAATCAAATCGGAATAACGTACGGTTTTTAAAAAATCTGATTTTTTTGAAGTTTGGTGCCCTCTAACGGACAAACAAAGCACTTTTGTATAGAGGTAAATTGTGTCCAAAGAACTTATTTTGATTCTAAAAATAAGCAGTAGTTATATGTTATATATGGAATATTGGGACATCCTGTATAGTTGTTGTACAATCATGAGCGTGTAATTCGTACCTGTCAATTTACTTGGGAAATTATAATATATAATCCCTATAACAACTATAAAAAATTTAAAAAATACCTACTAATTATGAAGATAATCAGATAATTAATACAAATTGGGGAATTCTCTCCATAAAGTGATGCTGTAAATACTGAATATGACAAGTCTGATACATAGATCTACGACTTTGTCTAGAAGTGTGTGGATCAATCTTCACCACAGAAAATTATACAATATGATCGAAAAAAAAACGGCGCCAGCGATCGCTATAAAATAAAGATTGCTGTCATTTTATACAGGCTTGTTCACCACAGACGACACGGAGTGTTGTAGCTAAAGGATTAGATTTTTACAAATTGTAAGTTTTGGGTTCGTTGAAGGACGAGTTACAATTTAAAAATATTTTTAAGGTGATATTATAATATAAGCCAGTTTTCATACTTGTAAACATACGGTCCTGTTTCCTTTACTACTGGTTTCATTCCATTCATAACATCATCAGGGTTCGAAATATTAAACAAAAAAACTCTAAACTCAAAAGGCAGTGGAGTTTTCAAAAAAGTGTCCCAGGCCATCGTATTTTCTTTTAAGATTTTCGTCTAAAAACTAATCATATTTAAAAACTTGTAATTTGAATTAGACTTTATACCTACTTCCCATATTTTTTTATAGATGTAATCTGGTATAAACTTGAAACCCAGCAATCCACTCGATACTGTTATTAATGCCCCGACTATTCCGATTATAAACAACTGAGCACCACTGATTTTATTTAAATTTAACTTCGGAAAAATCATTTTCTTTTACTGGATTTAATTTAAATTTTCTCTCGCATATGGTAATTGTAAACTGATGGTTCATACGCAAATGTTTCTGTTGTAGCGGTTAAAACATAATTTATTTTTTATGGTAAACAAGTATTTTAAGGCAATTGAAAATACCACAATATCTGTGAATCTACGAATCCTTGGGGTACCGGAACATTACTGTGTTCCTGACGAACATAATTTTATTTTTATTTTATCTATCTTTTAAATCGGTAAAATAATACATGTTCTATATTGGTATAATAGCGGTGGTCAATTATTTAATAATAATAACGTAATTCAAACAACAAGATTATTGTGCGATAGGTAAACACAAAAAAAATATAAACCATTATTTTTATTAGTCCATTATTTTAAATTGGGCTCATCCACGGCTCATCATTAGACAACCCCTTATACACTTCTAACCTCACTTATGATTGTCAAAAATGATCAAAAATAGTCGTCAAGTTCAAGTTAAAAAATTATTTTTATTGGCAAATGATGTCTTGTAAATAATGTGGAGAATACTTTTTAGATCAGTTAACAACAGCAAATTCTAATTTAACATGTATAACACACTTTTGCTTCGATATAAACATACTTCAAAAGTATCAACATATCTTCAAAGGTATTTTAGTCAAACCATTGTGTTAAATATAGTGAATTACTATTATATTTTAGAGCATTATCTACCTCTCTTGGAAGTGATGCAGAAAATATCGAAATTGTACCACCTCCAAGCCATGCCCGAGTGGTTATATGTGGTGGTGGTGTTATGGGAGCATCGGTAGCTTATCATCTAGCAAAATTAGGATGGGGACCTCATACAGTTCTAATAGAACAAAATAGGTAAATAATTTAATAATTATGTAAGTAACCTGAAGTAAATTTTGGTTTTTAGGATTGGAGGTGGAACTACCTGGCATTCTTCCGGCCTTATAGAGGTTTTTAAGCCTAGTCTATCTCAAGTAACACTTACAAAATCAAGCGTAGCTTTATACAAGGAACTGGAAAGTCAAGGGCTGTCTACAGGATGGAAAGAATGTGGAAGTTTGAATGTTGCCAGAACCAGAGACAGACTTACTGTTTTTCGTCGAATGAAAGCTCAATCAGAGTATGTATTTCTAGTTGTATTAGCTTAGGGAAATGGTAAATTTTTTATAATATTTCAGAGCATGGAAAATAGACTGTGATATATTAACACCCGCTCAATGTAAAGAAAAATGCCCTTTATTGAATACAGAAGATCTGATTGCAGGTTTATGGATTCCTGGTGATGGTGTTGGTGATCCTTATGACACTTGTTTATCCTTAGTTAGTGAGGCAAAGAAAATGGGTAAGACATCAGTGTTTTTTAATAGTAATTTTACTTAAAATTGTCTTTTTAGGGGTAAAAGTTGTTGAGAATTGTGTCCTTCAAAAGGTGTCTCAGGTAGGGGGCAGAGTATCCGGAGTAGAGACAAGTTTAGGCTCGATAGTTTGCGAATATTTTGTGAATTGCGCTGGTTTTTGGGCCAGAGGAATAGGACAGCTATCCGAACCGTATGTTAAAGTACCTCTACATGCTGTAGAACATTACTATTTACACACTAAACCTATACCCGGGTTGGACCCTTTAACACCAGGTGTGGGTACAACTTTTTTATAGATATTTTGTGGGTTATTTGTGTCTTGTTTGTATATAATAATTTGATATATTTTGCTTCATTTTTTATAGCAGGATTTTAATAGAGAATTGAATTTTTGGAAATAACAACATTTTATGGTAGCATAGGTCAACAATTTATTTTTTTAAAAACAAGTTAAAAGTTTAAAAATAAACATATTTTGTCTGAATATCAAAACTACTTAAGTAGAACAACTAGAGATAAGGCATGGACAATGTTTTAAGAAATTTTTATTTTTTATTTTTTAAACTTCTATTTTAGGCAGTGAACTCTGAACTAATATTTACTTAAGTAATTGAGTTAGTCTAAATTCCTAAATTAATATTTTTCTCTACTTTGGTATCCTTAATATTGCCACCAAAGAATTCTTAATTTATTATATTTTATAAGTTCATAATAATGAATTAATAATATTAATATTTTTTATTAGTATATTTTAGAAGAGAGGATAAAAAAATCGATAAAAAATCGAGCCGAGAAATCGGATAAAAACAATATACATGACACTGACATTTGTATCTGTCATTTTAATGTCTATGTAAATTGTATTTTCTGTCATTTTTTGCATGTTTTTTGAAACCCCTCCTGCCAGCTATAATAATTCAATTTTCTGCTCTTTTTTTTGTAAATTTTAGATTGAACTGTATAATAACAAAGAAAAATACATTTATTTTTAATTATAAACTTTTTATTTAATCATTTTAAAGTTCAGAAAATATGAATATGCTTGTTTGTTAATAATTTAGGTAAATCAAATATCTATGTAGTATTTGTGTAATTTTCTTTTAAAAATTTTAATTTTTTTTGGAAAAAATATTTGATGGAACTAAAATCTAACCCTATGTCCTGCTACAAAAAAATGGGGTGCCAAGTTGTATTTAATTACACTTAATATAATTTACTTTCAGTTGTTAGGGATCAAGATGGGCATATTTACTTTAGAGAAAATAACGGAAGGTTATTGGCTGGAGGATTTGAACCAGTGGCTAAACCAGCTTTTGAGGATGGAAGAATTCCTGGTAAGATCTTTATAAAAAAGTGCTAAGTCCTTTATATTATCTTATATGTATGTATATGTATTAACAAGGAATAGTTTTTATATCTACAATGTTCTTGTTATCTTAACTTTATTATTTTAGTAAGTGTTGGTGAAAGGCAGCTACCTGAAGACTGGGATCATTTCCACGTTCTATTAGAACAATTATTACATAGAGTGCCTACATTAGGCTCGGCAGTTTTAGATAGGCTTTGCAATGGACCTGAGGCATTCAGTCCAGATTGTAAATGGATAGTAGGGGAAGCACCTGAGGTATGTGAACGACAATAGCAATTGCATTTAAAGGATCCAGGGGAAAAACATGATAAGCGCCAATTTCTTAATTTTAGGATTTTAAAATAGTATAGCAGGTCTAACTGGTCCCTACAAAATGTATAAACTTTGCAAGGCAATAAGTTGTTAAATTCTATGATATATCTCTACTAAAAATATACACGGAAAGAACCTGGTAACCATCAGCTGTCCAGTACTCTTCTGTAAAATTAGTAAAATTGCACTTATCATGTTTTTCCCCTAAGCCCTTTATTTATTATCCTTTATTATCTGTTATTAGATATTTACAGTGTTATGTAGTTTATATTATTCTTGGAAAATTTGAGTTCTTGAATCTTGTTTCTAAATATTCTTTGATTTTATTGAGATTTACAACTTTAAAATTGACACTAAAACTCTATGCAAGGTGACTCAACGTTTATGACCATTTTTAGGGTTCCCTACCCAAAGTCTAAAAACGGGAACCCTATTACTAAGACTTCGCTGTCCGTCCGTCCATCCGTCTGTCAAAAAGGTATATCTTATGAACCGTTATAGCTAGACAGTTGAAATTTTTACAGATAATGTATCTATGTTGCCGCTATAAGAACAAATACTAAAAACAGAATTAAATAAATGTTTATAAATAAAAAAGTACTTTCACTAAACATTATCTATTAAGTAAGAATTTTACATAGAATCTTTCAAGTTCTTGGTGGCCGCGTGGTTAAAGCGTTAGGACTTTACTGCTGCTATGACGTTGGAGCCGTAGTAAGGCAGGTTCGAATCCTAGTCAAGGCGACTTTTTTTAATCGTTTTTTTTTAATTTTTACGTATTTTTACATATTTATTTTTACTTTTTACATATTTATTATTGATTAATACAATTTTTAGTAATGTGTTTCTTCATTTTTATTTTAAATTTTATACGCGCATTCAATTTTCAGCTAAATCGGAAAAAAAGTTCATAATAATATAGTGTCTAATGTTGTATAGATAATGAATGGTACGGAACCCTTCGTGCGTGAGTCCGACTCGCACTTGACCAATTTTTAATCTAAATTTCCCTCTTATTTAGAGTTTTTCCAAAATTCCTAAAGTTGATATAATTTTTCAATCTTCTTAACCACTGTACTTCAAAAGTCTTTGTTTTCTTCAAAATTCAACTTACCATAATTTTCAATGTTGTTTGATATACCGGGTTTTTCTCAATTGTAGCTCAGCCCTATAACTTTTTAATTTTTTTAGATAAAAAAGCGAGATTTAGTACGTTACTATATGACATAAATCAGGATTGATTGGCGTATTCAATTGTTTTCGGTAACTTTTTTACTTTATTCCAGCTTTATTCGATATAAAATGACACTCTGAATGGAATGACATATCATATGTAAACTTTGACATTTTCGTATATATGATTTCTTTGAAATTGTATCATGCGGTTCATAACGACAATTTGACTCGAAATACCAAATGTGTAATACCAATTTATTCACAAAGAAATGCTTTTTCCAAATATGCTAATAGGCCACCCTCGTTCCATTTGAAAACATTACGATATGATTAAAAATACGATTTAGGCATCTTTTAACCAGCCAGGATAAGACACGAAGAACCTTAGACGATCAAATATATTTTTCCAAGGCTCCGTTATTAAAAATTAGTGTTTTTATGGATACAACCTTTGAATAAGAAGACTAAGGAAGGAGCATATCAAAAATCTTAGGTCCACCGCGATGGGCCTCAAATATGGCCGACTTAAATTCCGGTTTATCAGTGCCGTTCTAATTTTATTTAAAAAATGTAAAACTATGATGTAGGGTAAACGTGGGGTAGACTCAATCATTTTTTATTTATTTTACGTTGTGAATAAATGTTGGTAGTTATTAAAATTGTTATAAAAATATAAAATTCTAATAAAAATAGATAAGTTATAATAATTATTTATAACCATAAACATCCGATATGCTACTGAAGCAGGTAAGTCAAATTGACGTATCTAAATTCTTTGACATCTAATCTTTGACAAGTAGTAAATAAAAGCAAAAATGCAGGAAAAAATATATAATTAGTTAATTTAAGTGAATTTCATAAATGATCGGTTTACTACACGTATGTATATTATATAGTCACTTACTAGCGAAAAGTTGTTCCATTATTTCACTCGATTTTTGCCGAGATCTACCGCACGCTACACAACCAACTATTTTAGAGTCTTTTTCGATAAATCGCGATAGTGTCACTGATAATTTAAGTTCTGCCACAATTTCCATCTAAGTTTACTACCTTTATACAACTATCAGTAGTAGAATAAATAATAAATAATATAAAATAAGCTCCGTAAAGACTGGCAAATCCACAAAATTTCAAATCAAATTCAAATGTGTCAAATGAATCATCAAACAGAACTGTCAAGGATCCCCACCCTAGAGTCCTTTTTCCGCCCACCGTGTATGAATACATGGATAGCATTATGCTCCTTCCTTAGTCTTCTTATTCAAAGGATACAACAGACTAACGCAAACTGTTGCTAGGATATTTTATTAATTTTAATTGTGTTTTTTAGACATTGTGAATGATCGTAAACTAAAAAGTATAAAGTGTAATTGAAACCACTAATTTATTCCACTAATTGGGAGGTTCTGAATGAAGCTTAAACACAGTTAATTTTTAATTAATTAAATACGATTTTTTTAAGCAAAAATGTCAAAAGTTGACATGTGATATGTCGTTCTATTCAGAGTGTCATTTTCTATCGAATAATGTAAAAAAAATACCAAGGGTGCTATTTAAAAATCAAAAGTTGTAGTAATATCCCGGAAAACAGGAAGCGACCGAAAACAACTAATAAGTCAATCACTACTAATTAATGTCATATACCAACATACCAAATCTCGCTCTTGAGAAACACCCGGTGAGCTACTTTTGAGAGACACCCGGTATACAATATGAATGAAAATAAATGTTTATTTTGAATATAGAATATTGAGGACAACGGCTCAGCTACACTGAAATACCAGTTTCCGATAGATTTAGTTCCCGATAGATTAGATAGGTTTAGATATTCGTGATTGTCTAAATCGGTTCTTAGACTCTCGGCAAGTCGGTAGGCCATTGATTATATAGCCGAAGACCGCGGTTCAGATCCAGGGTAAACAAAGCAGGCCCCGTCCAGATTAGCCTTAGCAGCAAAAAAGAGATTAAACATCAATTTGAACCTTTTTTTAAATAGAATATTGAGAGAACATCTCAAACTAGAAACCTGATATAAAACTTTTTCGGAACGTTAGGTCACTCTGTATAAACTCTCTGTGAGTTAACTCTTGATTTTTAAGGTATTGAAACTTAATTTGATATATCTTTCTCTAGTTCATAGGTCGGATAAAATTGATATATTTCAATGTTAAGTTTGTCAAATCCAAGCATTCTACATGCTATTGTTTATATTTTTAGATAAGAAATTATTTGGTGGCTGCTGGGATGAAAACTGTGGGTATATCCGCTGCCGGGGGAGTCGGTAAAGCGACAGCTGAATTAATAATGCACGGCGAGACTGATTTTGATATGTACGAACTCGAAGTTTCGAGATTTTTAGGTTTACATAATAATCGAAAATTCTTAAGAGATAGGGTTGTAGAAGGTAAAGGAAATAATTTATACATGCATATATTTTGGTCGTTTAATGTAAAAAAATATTTTAGTTCCTGGTTTACATTATGGAATGAACTATCCCTTCTATGAATTCCAAACAGGTAGAAATTTGAGAATGTCTCCTGTTTATCCGAAATTGAGAGAAGCTGGAGCTGTTTTTGGTCAAGTAATGGGGTATGAAAGACCTACGTGGTTTGATCCTGAACATATGGAAGGTATTGCATGGTTTTATTTTTCTATTCTGTCAATTTTTGGATGTCATTGGATGTCAGAATAATATATTTACTCTGTGGACATACTATAACTGACATTAAATTTATCTATACCTTTGAATAAAAAGATTAAGGAAGGATTTAATGCTATCCATGTATTCATGCATGGTCGACGGAAAGAGGATTCTAGGGTGGGGATCCTTGACAGTTCTGTTTGACAATTCATTTGACACATTTGATTTTGATTTGAAATTTTGTGGATTTGTCAGCCTTGAGCTTATTTTATGTTATTTATTATTTATTCTACTACTGATAGTTGTTTAGAAGTAGTAAATCTCGAAGGAATTTTTTTGTGGCAGAACTTAAATTATAGTAAACGCCACGAATGTTTGGGAGTGATTCATCGGTCGCTACCATTTGAACTAATCTGTTCAAGGTCACATGAAACTTAATTCCAGTGCCGTGGTCTTTCAAGTCATATAATAGTCAATATATAATCTGTTGTAATTTGTTGTTTTAACTGAGAAGTCTTGTCAAAACATATATTTGGTTATAAATATAAAATGGCCCGTTGGTCGCACTGCAAGCACACCAATGAACTGACGCACAAAAACGAATCAATCAAAGAAAGGCGATATAGTATCGTCTTTGTCAATCACGCTAACATTTTAGAATAAGTAGGAGGAGCGCAGGCAGATGATTAGACTGGGCCTTTAAAAACCTACTTCTGCGGTAAAAATTTACGTTTTTAATGTAAAAATTATAGCGCGCGTGTCGATTCTAACTTCATCAAGCGATGAATCACTCCCAAACATTCATGGCGTTTATTCTAATAGTCACACTTTGCTATTGCGATTTATCGAAAAAGACTGTAAAATAGTTGGTTGTGTAGCGTGCGGTAGATCTCGGTCAAAAATCGATGGAAATAATGGAATAACTTTTCGCTAGTAAGTGACTATACAAGGTGGTCCGAACTGTATTCCGGAAACTTTGACAGAATATTTGAATATAAAAATAAGTAAAAAAGTTCGTATAAATGTATGTCCTAAAATGCTTAGTTTCGGAGATACAGGGTGTAGAAGTTTCATTTTTATTTCGATTTTCAAATAGATTCTCGAAATATCTGGAATCGAAATTATCAATACCTGTCGTCATTGACATAAATTAAACATGCGTTGACTAAATAGTTATTAGACTGAAATCATAAATTTGAGATGTTTTTGTACCAAAAGTTCAACAGAAACCGTTTTATCATCAATTTTTCGCAGAAAAATTTGTGATTTATTTAAAAAAATAAAAATTTCCCAAATTTATTATTTCGGTCAAATAACTATCTACTCAACGCAGTGGCGGACTAAGCCTGTCGGGGGCCCGGGGCGGCGAAGCTAAATGTGGCCCCCGGTCTGTTTAGATAATGATATATTTCTAATGCACATTTTCTAAAAATTGAATGATGTATGTGTAATGGTTGACAAAATTCAAGTATTTATACAGGGTGCCCAAGGCTGAGCCTGCGTTAGAAGTTTCTAGAGAACTACAATATCTAGATACGAGATTTTGTGCATATCATTGTTTCACAATCGTTCTATCGATTAAAAATATTTTCAATATGGCGGCACTTTCGGAAGTACCGGAAGTTGACAGCAAACTTTCTTATTTTAAATGGGTGGCCCCATTTTTTATTACATACTTAAATTCTCTGTAAAATTTTATGAATTTTGATATTAAACACTCTATACCTAACGTTCACCGTTTTTGAGAAAAAATATTTATAATTTTTGGAGGAAAAAAACTGCCTGTCAAAAATATGTATATAGCCTAAACGTCAAATTTAGTGATTGCCACTGCCACTGTACCATAAAGAGAAGACTATGACTATCTATGTCAAAAATTAAATTGTCCTATAATAATGGCCGCAGCTGTCATGGAATTGAGCGATTAAAAAATTATCATAAATCGTTTTTTTTCAAATGGAAATCCACTTTTTTTATTTCATTCGTGAAAAGGCTTTCGTTACTTTCGTTTTTAAAATTTGTTACTTTTTGACTATACATGTTCCTGTACCTAAAATAAGTCGTTTTTAAGTTATTTAAGATTTAGCTTTAAAGCGTATATTTTCTTGATTTTAACGAGTAGCCTTTGACAGTATATATTATCGATTATCATTTCCAAGCTAACTTTGCGCTGTTTTTTTTTTCGATCGTACGGTATATTATTAAAATATCAGCTATTAGAACGAAAATACGGGATATATTTATATAAATACATTTTTTAAACTTTTAAGTAGCAGAATATAGTTATAGGAAATTCAAATAATTCATTTTCTGACAGATAGAAATAAATTGTCTGACTGTTTGACACTTAATGTCAAAGAAAGCTAGATAAAATCAAGAAAAATATACGTTTTCAAACTAAATCTTAAATAACTTAAAAACGATTTATTTTGGGTATAGGAATATGTCTAGTTAAAACGTAACGAATTGGAAAACCTTTCCACTAGCGAAATAAAAAAAGTGGGTTTCCATTTGAAAAAAAAATATTTATGATAATTTTTTAATCGCTCAATTCCATGACAGCTACCGCCATTATTATATGACATTTGAACAATTTAATTTTTGAAATAGATAGCCACATGTCTTCTTTATGTCACAGGGGCTGTGATAATCACTAAATTTGACTTTTACGCTGTACAAATTTTTTTGACGGGTAGTTTTTTTCGTCCAAAAATGTTAAATATTTTTTTCTTAAAAATGCTTCCATTAAATACCGCGACAAAATATCGCGATTTTGTAAGTACTTCAAGATCCGAGGGGCCCCTTCGCTGTCTCAGACCCGTGGCCCCCTAAAGACTTCACTGCTCATCATCAATAATGAAGCTATATGCAAGTTATATGCTGTGCATTGGTTGTAATTTAAAATGTTTATTCAGTAAAAATAAATAATGAAACCATTGAAAAATAACTTAAAAGCTAAAATAAATAAATTCAGTCTCAAAATATATAAAAAATTATAATTATTCAATAATAATTAATTAAATATCTGCTTCCATTTATACTGTTTTTAGTTGGACGTATGGTTTGCATACTCCATCTACAAACTGCTTTATAACTACTGAACACATATTGGCCTTGTTTGCCAGTTGAATAAAAAATTACTTATTAAGATTTAGACGCCCCCTAAAAGACGGGGACCGGGGCGGGCCGCCCCCTCCGGCCCCCCCCCTTATTCCGCCACTGACTCAACGTGTTTATTTTTGTCAATAATAACATGTATTGACTATTCCCATTCTAAATATCTTGAGAACGGTTGTTCGTAGCGATTTTTCCCAAGAGATATATTTTACGTAGAAAGTCACGGAAATGTATATTTTCTCACTCAGTAATTTTATACAGGTATGGACGAAAAGTTGTTACTGTTCAAAACAGTTACAACACATGTAGGTGGCGCTCCCTACAAATAGAATTCATATTGACATCAAAATCAAATTTCTCAAGTCAAAAAACATCCAGACACCAATCTTCATCCAAATATTGACGTTACTGCATAAATTGTATGGTAAAAATCGAAATAAAAATGAAATTTCTACACCCTATATCTGCGAAACGAGGTATTTTAGGAAATACATCTATACGAACTTTTTTACTTATTTTCATTTGCAGAATATGCTGCCGAAGTTTCCGGAATACGGTTCGGATCACCCTGTATAATAATTATACGTATAGTAAATCGATTATTTATGAAATTCACTTAAAATTAACTAATTATATACTTTTTCTTGCATTTTTGCTTTTATTTACTACTTGTCAAAGAATTTAGATGCGTCAATTTGACTTACCTGCTTCAGTAGCGTATCGGATGTTAATAAATAATTATTATAACTTATCTATTAGAATTATATATTTTTACAATTTTAATAACCACCAACATTTATTGACAACGTAAAATAAAACAACACATTATTGAGTCTACCTCACGTCTACCCTACATCATATTTTTACACGTTTTAAATAAAATTAGAACGGCACAGATAATCCGAAATTTAAGTCGGCCATTTTAGAGTCCCGTCTGGTCGATCTAAGATTTTTGATATGCTCCTTCCTTAATCTTTTTAGTCAAAGATCTATACAAATATAATAATTTTTATTGCAGAGCAAGAATCTTTTGATTGGTCAACTCCTTACAGGACAGCTTACACAAATACCTTTGGCAAACCTCCATGGTTCAATTTTGTTGCTAGAGAATATGCAGCTTGCAGGGAAGGTGTGGGCATCAGTGATTATTCCTCATTTACTAAAGTTGATTTATGGGTGAGTGTATTGCTTAAAAAGCGAAAAAAAAACTTTTTTTATTCTTAGAGTGTGAGGAGTTTCTTATTTATATTATTGTATTTTTATTATTACAGTCAAAAAATAATGAAGTAGTTGATGCTTTACAATACATTTGTTCAAACGACGTTGATGTTCCAATTGGCAGCATTATTCATACGGGAATGCAAAATCAGAGAGGAGGATATGAAAACGATTGTTCCTTGGCTCGATTGTCGGAAAACCAGTAAGTTTAGTTTTAATCAGTGGCGGCGCGTGATTCAATAGGAGTGCACAACCTGTATTAGAAAAACAAATTGGCACGCGACCATGCTCAAAAATGAATATTTTTGAACCTTCAGCATATTGAAGATATATTGCTGCAGTATTATAGATTGTTCTTGTTAGGTTAAGTTTTCAAATTTAATTTCCTGGGAATATTTACATGTACAGGATGTCCTATTTTCGTGTGTTTGGGATTTTTTGTTTACAAGTAGAAATACAAAGATGCGGTGCTACTTTTTTTTTGCTACATCACTGTGCTACATTTTTATGAAACTAGATGTTATGAAAGTTATGAAAGATGCTACACACAGATTTGTCATAGCCTTCTTAGCAGAGTTCGGAAGTAGTTAATAAAGTCATAATATTTACCTGATTAACTACGTGTAGTTTATCTTTAAAAACTACACCTTTTCCTATTTATTAACTATATGAAAACTACTTTAATAAACTACATTATTATTACAATAGAAAAACAATCCTCTTAATAAAAAGGTTAATTTTGATAGAAACATGTAATGCATAGACTTTTTATTTAATTAAACAATCACCAATTATATTAAAATAATTATTATAAAATACGAAAACTCTAAATATTTTAACATAAACAAAGTACTAATATAAAATATGTTAAAAGATTTTAATCACCTAGTCAGTACCTTTATCAATACTTTGTAGAAAGTATTTTTCAGCCTGATTATAAATCAAATTATTAATTTGATGACTATATTATAAATATAGTCATCAAATTAATGTTTCTTTAGTATGTATTTTTATTACTTGATTTGAAATTAAATTCTTCTTTAGGAAGGGTATAAATAGTTTGATGTCAGTGCTGTATTTAAAGCCATATTTCTTTTGTATTCTAAAGCTTCAACTTATAACCGCAAACCTGCCTCAAACCTTTAATATTTGATAGTTGCATAAACTACACATAAACTACACCATTTACATATGTCTATCTACGTCGATGAACTACATGTAATGTAGTTTATGTAGTTTTTAAAAGTAACTGTAATGTAACAGTAATAACGTAATGTAAAAGTAACTGTAATAACTAATATATGTAATTTTACGAACCTTGTTTCTTACTTTCTGAAGTACAGAGTGAAATTTAAAATATATACAAGGTGAGACGAAAAATGCAACATTTTCAAATTCGCCCTGCATTTCAGGAACTGAGAGGGCTAGGACAAATCTGTTTGTAGCATATTTAGTTTCATAAAAAAGTAGCGTAGTGATGTGAAGCCCGCATGTTTGTATCTCTACTAATAAACGAGGAACCTTGTAAAACAGACGAAAATGGGACATCCCGTACACTGAAGATGTTAAACTTCAAGATGCATTTGTGTTTGCTTGTGCACCAATGCACTACTTACTTAATATTTTCAAATAAAGTGTTTCTTATGGTTGAATTACTTTGGGGACTTTTCTACAGCAAAGCTGATGATTTCAATCATGATCTAAATTGAAAAATCAATTGGTTTAAATCGTCGCATGCCTGCTGTACATATTTTCTTGCTTATGATGGCAGAAAAAAATATTTTTAGCTACATGATGATCGCACCCACCATACAACAAACTCGATGTAAAGTCTGGCTCCAGAAACACCTCCCGCCATCAGTTGCAACATCCGACGTAACCAGTATGTTTACCGCCCTTTGTATAATGGGACCCTTTACAAGAACCCTTCTATCCGAACTGACCGACACCGACCTGAACCACAAGAGCTTTCCTTTCTTTACGTATAGAATGCTCGATATAGGCCTAGCAAATGGTATTAGGACGATGAATTTAACCCATACAGGGGAACTAGGTTATGTTTTGTATATACCTAATGAAGTAAGGCGTATTTTTGAGAAAACGAATATTTTGTTTGTTAATTTTTTCTTGTAGTTTGCCCTTCATGTATATAATAGTTTAATCAATGCCGGTAAGAAGTATGGGATTACTCATGCTGGTTATTACGCGACCAGGGCATTGAGAGTTGAAAAGTTCTATGCTTTTTGGGGGCAGGATTTGGACACAACTACGACGCCGCTGGAATGTGGTAGAGTCTGGCGTGTTAAGTTTGATGTAAGTATTTTAACAAATTATCTATCAGTTATAGCGAGACTCTAATAGGCAATAAACTTACAAAGGAGTTTATAATTTATCGTTATTTGTTTATCTGACGGATATTATTTATTCAAAAAAGTTCTGTGGGTATTTCGCCACTGTAATGGTGCAAATACACACTCGCCGAGTCGACCCGAGACCGAGACGAGGCGAGTGTGTACTTGGGGCTCTTGCCTGCTCTCGGGCCCTCTCGCCTCGTAATCTGAACGTTTTGTACCAAGTACACACTCGCCGAGTGTCTTGCCTCGGTGGATCTCGCCTCGTCTTGGAAGCGCTCGTTCTAGAGGCGGTCTCCAGCACGAGTTAAAGGAGACGAGAGCCACAGAGAAACTAAATAAAAGAGAGACATAATAGATTCTATATTTCTCTATGGTGAAAGCGTTAAGTAGGAGGTCCCGCGAAAATATACACGGTGTTCTCGGGAGATCCGCATTCCTTAGGTCGTCTTCTCAACTGCCTTTGAGTTGACGCCTATTTTCGGTATTTAATTATTAAAATATAAATATATAATTATACAGTGGATAAACGATTTTAGTCAAAGTACCGAAAAATCTGTTAAGAGAACTGTAGAAAAAAAAATATTCTTTAATGGTCACTTTCCGGGCCGTTTAAGATATTAAAAGCTATGCACGCGGTTTTAATTCAGTTTGATGGAAATTCTTCAAATTCAAATATATGACTGCCTACCTAATATAAACATTCATTAGTTTCTATAAGTATCTAAGTTTATTTTAATAATTGAGAAGCGATCAAAAAACGAATCTATTTTGAGATATTAACAAAAAACATGTCGTTATTGGTATAAACGTGTCGTTATTGCGTCTTTTAAACAAAGAAAATTATAATGTACATGAAAGATATTATGATACAGACTTAGAATTTAGAATTTAGAATGAGTGGGAGGGGGGTTAATCACTTCGACCTTACAGATCCATTGTGTCCCCCTTTCTTGAATCATAACTCATCATACAGTCCCAGGGCTTTGACAAAAGCCAGTATCTGGGACGGTTTTATAGAGGGTAGTTCTCCATCTCCAATATCAGTCGTACCAAAGTTCATGGCACGAATGGTTGTCGTCTCGGCGCACTCAGTGATGAGGTGTACTGGTGTTTCACCATCTTCCCCACAGAATCTGCATTCGCCGTTTCTTCTTAGTTTCAATCTATTGAGGTGTTCATTGAGGAGACAGTGTCCTGTTAAAAACCCCGTGACAATCCGAAGATTGTTCTTACTCAGACCCAGGAAGATCTGTGATTTTTCTTGATCATAAGCCCTCAGAAACTTCTTCGAGTGTCTTAGACCATTGCAAGATTTCCATTCCAGGTTGCGGATGGAATCTTCCAAGTTCTTGAGTTCCGCCTTGAGTTGGTTACCACTTGGAAAGCAGAACGGTTCTGGTCCAGTTAGTGGAGTGTTCGCTCCTTTCCTAGCTAGATTATTTGCTTTTTCATTGCCTTCTATCCCTTGGTGAGCAGGCACCCAGTGTAGGAGGACTTTGTTTTCTTTGCCTAATTTATTCAGCATGATACAGACTTTCTAGACACTGTTTTCGCTTTTTTGTCATCATTAACGTAAGAATTATTATTCTAATTACAAAATTATTGATTAATCTCTTGTGTCCTCAGTTAAAAATAAAGATTTATTTTTTGTAATGTAAAATAGTTTGTTTTAATATTATTAGGTAAAATAGCAAATATTTTACGATTTTATGCAACATTATGTTTTTTTTTTTTAAATTTTAATACACCTCACCTCGGCAACATAAAGTCGAAAATACAGTTTGTTTCGATCCTTGGCAGTTACGTCATCATTTTCGACGTTATATTGGTTTTCATGATTTTTTTCATGACAAACACGGATAATAGAATGATAAATAATCTGTGCCGTAACAGCCAAAGATCAATAAACAAAGCGTAGATGAGTATGTCTATAAAATACCAAAAATACAATAAAAACAAAAATAATCAAAGGCGGATTTATCTTTTTCTGTTTGAAACTAATATATGCAATTTGATTTTGTGGATTTCACTGGTTTTTTATTTTCTCGACTTTCAGGTCGGTTTTAAATTGGATTTAAGAAAAATGTTTGCCCTAATTTTCCCAAAAGTGTTATTAAATTTATCTCGTTGAGCGCCTGATTGTTTTTATTTTTACAAAATTATTCTTCAAAATATATTAATTATTAATTGGTGTGTTTTTGCCTCGCATTTCTTGTGGCGCCTCGGCGAGTGTGTACTTCCAGCATAAATCACTTGTGTCTAGCCCCAGCAGGCAACTATTAAGCCCGACCAATCACGTTACAGTTTTTGACCAAACACAAATGAATTAACACCCTCCAAATAACCACGCTAACCAATCTGATTGGTCAAGCTTAATAGTTGGCTGCTGGGGCTAGACACTTCTCATAAATGCAACTATTCGAGACCACTTGAGTTTTTGTTTAAAACAGATACGCAACAGATACGTCTATAAAAACCGTTGACGTTCTGTTAATATGACATTATATCATGATTATATCAAGTTAAACATCAAAATTAACAATTACTACCTGATAACAATTACTTAATAAGGTAAAACCAAAAAGCTTCAAACTTTCTGTATGATAATTTTTTAATTTGTTTTTAATTTTTACGTATGTTGTGTTTATTTATGTTATGGTTATGGAGTGTATAGGTAAGGAGAAACAACTCTTACGGGACTTTTATTGAAAAAGTGGTCACAAAATGGGAAGAATAAGGGTTCGCCAAATGACCACAGTGGCGCTAAAAACGCATGAATCTAAAAAATGAAAAGTAACGTAAGTAGTAGTAAGTAAGTAGTAGAGAATAAAAATAAATATAACCAAACATTACCCAAAAAAAGTTTTGTTTTTATTTTTTAGACAGAGTTTTTGAATATAAAATAATTATTGTTTATCAATATTTTGTGCTTTATTTATTATTTAACAATGGTTAAAGTGTGTGTGGTGCGAAGTTGATTGAATAGCTGATGGAAAAATAAAAAGCAAAGGCAAAGCCTACGGTATGTAAAATACATAATATAATTCAGTATTGTATTATTTGTATTATATGTAAAAATTAGGGTCAATCAGAAGTGTAGTAAACATTTTTCGTAAGATTATTGACATACATGTTACAAAGTATATTTCTACAATCCTTTTTATAAAGTTACAACCTAAATAAAATTTATTTTTAATGATTTTAAAGTTTGACAGACATGCACAAATTGTTGGCATATTTTTAAACAAGTAAAAGTAGGAAATACATAAAATTGTAGGTACTTTGAAGAAATATAGTTAACTGTAAGTGCTGTATTTTAATAATCTATCAAAAATCAAAATCATCAGGATAATATTAGGTATTGATTTTCAGACAAGAATTAGATTACAGTGATGGTCAAAAGCATTTAGATATTGCTTTGAAATCTACAGATAAGATATGGCAGTTTCATTTTAAAGAACAAGATGTTAAAGTTTGTGATAAAATTGTCATCAGAAATACTGTCCACTTCAGTATTTACATAGGAAAATATTGGAGGATGAAGCTCTACCTACTGCCTCAGGTTAATTTAAATTCTGAATTGCAACAGCAACAAGCAAGAAGGGCACCATTAAATGAATATTATACACATAAGTATTATTTTATACACAGAAAGAGTAATGCTAATATTACACATAAATATTAACATTTTGTAGAGCAACAACAGAATAAAAAACCAAAATATGAACACCAGCAACTAAAACAGGAACCATTAAATGAATATTATACACGTAAGTACAATTTGATCGAATAAAAAATGGCGTCAGCGATGCCTATGAAATGAAGATTGCTGTCATTTTATATGTAAAATGATATGGAGAATGTCATCGAGATGTTCATTTCCAAGCCAACTGGACGCCGTGTTTTTTCGATCATACAGTATTATTATACACATAAATAATAATATTATACACATAAACATCCCTTGATAAAGATCAACATTTTGTAGAGCAATAACAGCATCAAATAATGGAAATAATGGACCCTACTGCTCAAATCAAAAACAAAATTTCATCATTACCACTTTATTGGTTATATCAATAAAAGAAATTATTGAGTTTATGAGTCTAGATCCTACAAGCAAGCAGATCTATCACATAATTTAAAATGAAGATTTATCTATTATAGTATGTATAAACACTTTGCATCTTTTATTCAATGTTGTAATGAATTAACAAATTGCAGGTAATTTATTCTAATAATGAAAAAGAAACTTTGGATCAAAAAATATTTTCTTCTGATGAGGCTTATGAATATTAAAGTCTGTTGAAGTTTGGCCATTATGTGTTGGTATACAATTTATTTATGATGTTACAGTAGTTAAACCATCCGAATACAAAACATATTTAAAATCCACTATTCTTAATGAACCAACTTGAGAGGAAGCTAAGAGAAAGGTTCTATTGGGTGGACTACAAGAAAAAGGGACATATACATGAGGATCTGGAAGGGCTATAACATTACGTCTCAAGCCATGGAACAATAGGAAACGAAATTCAAAGGAAAATATTACAATACGTGGGATGCAAATTATAGTGCAAAGAATTGAGAAAAAGAATTATTAAAAGTAGTTATAGTTATGATAGTTAAACCATCCGACTACCAAATATATTTAAAATCCACTATTCTGAATGAATAGCAACTACCAACTTGGAAGGAAGCTGCGAGACGATTCTATTGGGTGAACTACAAAGGAAGACATGAGGATCTGGAAGGGCTATAAAATTATATTATTCCACGTCCCAAGCCATGTAAGCCATGTTGGAATAGCTGGGAGTGAAAAAGAAGATAATACTGCACACGATTCTTGTCTAGAAGTAGTTGATATTAAGGTAGTTAAGCCATCCGACTATCGAACATTTAAAATCCACTATTCTGAATGAATGGCAACTACGATGGGGCAAAACGTAAATAAATACTTGTACAGTATAAAATTACATAATATTGGCTTAATTTTTATACTAAATAAAATGTATTACGTTATTTTTGACCTGCATTATATTTATTTAAATCCCATATCATCAATTAAACTTCAAATAAAGTTTTCCTAATTATAATTAACATTAATTTTAAACTAAAGCTTTTTCATCTTGAATGAGATTTACGAAATAACTTGAGAAACAATAAAAAAGACGCTCAGTCTATTGCTTCTGAATAATCGATAATAAAACCACATATTGACTTACTTTTATACTAAATAAATGTAGGTATGAAGTTATTTTAAAGCTGCATTATATTTATTTTAAACCCATCACCAATTATTACTTTAAATAAAATTTTTCTTAATTATAATTACCATTAATTTTAAGCTAAAACGATCAGAATATTTTTTCGTCGTCTTGAATGATATATGCGAAATAACTTATGAGAAGTCTAGTCTATTGCTGCCGAATAAAAATCTGTAATTTATTTCATGCAACATGAAAATAAAATTGTATTTTTTGGAAACCCGCGGCTTCGCGTTTGCTTCACGTCAAATATTTATGTCTTGAATCATCTGTTCTAAAATGTTCGGCGCATGTCTTAAATTTTAGGATCTTGCTACAGCAGCGCCATCCTAATTCTTCCCTTTTTTTGACCATTTTTTAATGCACGGAGTTATTTCTCCTTACCTCTACACTCCATAGTTATGGTCTTTAAAATCAAAGAAGCGATTGCCATACATTACTAACATCTACAGATGAACAATACATTTATTTTTATTAGATTGTATTACAAACGCTTCTTTTATTTTTCATTTAGAGGCTATCGCTTCTTTCATTATAATTTTTGCGTTGTTGAAATCTACTCTATGCCCTGTGTTCCATGTTAACTACTTTTTATCATGGAAACTGGAAAGGTCATCATTTTGTTTTTTGTTTTAGAAAACTGTTGATTTTATTGGTAGAGATGCCCTTTTGAAACAGCGCGAAGAAGGTGTAAAAAGAATGTACATTCAGCTAATTTTAGAAGACCACGAAACTGAGACTGACTTGTGGCCATGGGGTGGTGAGCCCATATACCGAGATGGAAAACAAGTGGGCATGTGTACCACTACTGGTTATGGGTTTACTTTTAAAAAGCAGGTATTGTAAAGAGTATTAAAATTAATTGTGTATTTATGTATTTTTTATATACATTAAATATATATTTTAGGTATGTTTAGGATTTGTTGACAATTTTGATGAGAAAGGCCAAAGACAAAAAGTAACTCATGATTTCATTACTAGCGGACACTTTGAAGTAGATGTTGCTGGTATAAGGTAAGTTACTAAAAGAAACCAAAAATTTTTTCATTAAATATTTATTTATTAATTATATATTTCAAAAAATACCTATTTTTTATTATTAAAATTTAATTTTATTTTATTATTTTTTATTATTACAAATTTGGCAATACTTTTATAGCTATTTTATTATAGCTCGTTATAATACTCCTTGTATGTGTACAATATTATTATTTTCTATTTTTAACTTTTTTTTTTAAATAAAACAAAGAAATATAAAACAAAAATATTCTTTATTTTCTACGACTTAGTAACAAAATGATTATCTATTTTATTAAAAAAATATCAGTCTCACATAATTTCTATAAGAAATATATCACAAAACTAACAAAAACCTATATCTAAAATACTGAATTATATTATTTAATCAACTTCTTCTATCGTTGGACCATTGCTCTGAGATCCACCAAATCCACCAGCTTGTCTACCACATCCGCCAGGCATTCCTCCACCCATGTTATTATTCTGAGATCCGCCTCCATATAATTTGGCCATGATAGGGCTGCATACTGATGTTAGCTGTTTCTGTTTGTCTTCGAACTCTTCCTTTTCGGCCAGCGTGTTAGAGTCTAGCCATTTAAGAGCAGCGTCGCACTCCCGTTCAACCGTCGCCTTGTCTTCTGAGCTTAGTTTGTCTCCGCACTCCTGCACTGCTTGTTTCAGTTGGAAGATGTAAGCCTCCAGTTGGTTGCGTGAGGCTACTTTTTGTTTCTGTTTTTCGTCTTCCTCCTTGTACCTCTCGGCTTCGGACAACATGCGGTCGATGTCGGCCTGTGACAACCGGCCTTTGTCGTTCTTGATTGTGATGTTGCGGGTGTTGCCAGAACTCGTGTCTTTAGCGGATACGTTGAGGATTCCATTGGCATCCAGGTCGAACGTTACGTCAATCTTTGGCACACCTCTGGGAGCTGGAGGAATGCCAGTGAGATCAAATGTGCCCAGGAGGTTGTTGTCCTTGGTCATGGCACGTTCACCTTCGAATACTTGGATTGTTACAGCGGGCTGATTGTCTGCGTATGTGGTGAAGGTCTGGCTTTGTTTGCATGGAATGGTTGCATTTCTCTCTATGATCTTGGTCATGACACCACCAGCTGTTTCAATACCCAAGGAGAGAGGGGTAACATCTACTAACAACACGTCTTGGATCTTCGAATCTTTTTCGCCGCTCAGTACAGCCGCTTGGACCGCTGCACCATAGGCTACAGCTTCATCTGGGTTGATGGACAGGTTCAGCTGTTTTCCATTGAAGAAGTTCTGAAGCAATTGTTGGATCTTGGGTATTCTTGTCGAACCACCAACTAAAACGATGTCGTGAATAGAGCCCTTGTCCATTTTAGCGTCAGCCAGGGCTTTCTCTACAGGTTGAAGGGTACCTCTGAACAAATCGGCGTTTAGTTCTTCGAAACGCGCCCTCGTAATTTTGGTGTAAAAGTCGAGGCCTTCGTAGAGAGCGTCAATTTCAATGGAGGCTTCGGTGCTGGAACTGAGAGTTCTTTTCGCCCTTTCTGCTGCTGTCCTTAATCTTCTGACGGCCCTCGGGTTGGAACGTAGATCTTTCTTGAATTTACGTTTGAACTCTTCAGCGAAGTGGTTCACCAATCTGTTATCGAAGTCTTCACCTCCAAGATGGGTGTCTCCGGCTGTCGATTTAACTTCAAACAACGATCCTTCGTCGATTGTGAGGATGGAAACATCGAAAGTACCGCCACCCAGATCGAAGATTAGGACGTTTCTTTCTCCTTTAAGATTTTTGTCCAATCCATAAGCCAAGGCAGCCGCTGTGGGTTCGTTGATTATCCTCAGAACGTTTAATCCAGCGATAACTCCCGCATCTTTCGTAGCTTGCCTCTGGGAATCGTTGAAATATGCTGGTACTGTAATAACTGCGTCTTTGATGTTTGTTCCTAGGTATGCTTCTGCTATTTCCTTCATTTTCGTCAGCACCATCGAACTAACTTCTTCTGGGGCGAATCGTTTTGTTTCACCTTTGAATTCAACTTGCAGTTTGGGTTTTCCAGTTTCGTTGATGACTTTGAAGGGCCAGTGTTTGATGTCGGCCTGAATTTTTGGATCGTCGTATTTTCGCCCTATCAACCTTTTAGCGTCGAAAATGGTGTTCGATGGGTTCATCGCGACTTGATTTTTGGCAGCATCGCCGATGAGACGTTCGGTGTCGGTGAACGCCACGTAGCTTGGAGTTGTTCTGTTACCTTGTTCGTTGGCGATGATTTCCACTTTTCCATGCTGCCACACTCCCACACAGGAATATGTGGTTCCCAAGTCGATACCAATTGCTGGAGCTTTAACCATTTTGATGTCTTCTTTTATTCTTATATTTTCACACAATAACACCACTGTACAATTTTATAACACAATAACTTTCGTTTGGTAAAACTTTGAATTTGTTCGCTGTGTCGCTTTTGCTTCACACTCGTTGCTTGTTTTCAAATTGACTGGTTACCGCGCCAACGGCGTCGGTTTATATACGGACAGCCGAGGCGCATCGAACGCCACAGAAGCCGATGGAGAATTCTCGAAATTCTCCGCTGTATCGATTGTCCCGATCTATTCACACCGCGGGGCGCTCGACTGTTCTGGAAACGTTTATGTATACGGTGTCCCAAAAAAAAAAGATCGCTTTTATTTTTCATTTTTAACGATTTTATAACTGCATTTTTTTCTTAAATTAATATATAAAAATAATACAGAGAATATATGTGTAATGATTTTAATTAAATTATTTTTACGAATAAGAAAATTGTGGATATTTTTCGTACTGAAGGATAATATTTTTTTTTAGATATCACGCTAAAGCGAATATACATTCTCCCATATTGCCAACCAAATATCCCGATGTGGAAAGAGACGTCTACAGAGCTACAAGGGGCAAGAGTGATGAAAGAAGTGATTTAAATCAAGTTGTTAAAGCTATTTAGTACTGAATCATCAATATTATTTAATGTTATAGACACCTCAATGTTTTAAAATGTATGTTTTTAATAGGGTTACCATATGTATGTATTCTTTGTAAAAGAAAATATATATTTTATTATGTAATTGAATTATAGATAATATTTATTTGTAACTGAATTTATAATTTTTAGTGTATATAAATTAAATAATTTCCTGTAATAAAGTAAAAATGTTTTCCATGTTTAAAGTTATATTATTAAAGTCTGTACATTTTTTTTCTGGAAAATTTCTATTGCCTGTTGCAAATGGAAGATATACCGCATGAAAGAAAAAAAACTTCGTAAAAGACAGCTGGGAAATGACAATCAATGATAATTTTGGCGATGTAAAACTCTAGACGTCGCGCGTCGTTTACTAAAAATTGACACTAATTATAGGGAAATTAAAAGAGGAGAGAATGTTTTCAGACACTATTTTTAAAAATCATTCTTACTCAATTTGAAAATAAATTTCAACTTTCTTACTAAGCCAAGTAACAACGTATAGGGCTTGACCTCGCCAAAATTATCATCGAATATGTCATTCCCCAGCGGTCTTTGACGCCATTTTTTTTCTATCGTATGGTATGAAATTACAGAACCATAAGTTTAACTATAATATTCTTATATACAGTATGTCCCCGGATTTTCTATATACAAAAGGAAAAACTTTTTTGTTGGCATTTTGAGAAAAATGCATTCTTCATAAAAAATTTTGCTTGTTCTAAAATTCGTAATCCCGTTTATACTTTTCCAAATTTCCATACCGTGTTAGAGGAAATTATAAAAAACATGAAAATATATGGTTGAATTTTTCTGAAAGCCCTTAAAATAAAAAGGCGTCTATGATAATATAATTTCGATTTCATTTCTTTGATAGATGATTATTGTTAATTTTGATTAACGTCATCTTTTTTGCGGTTGTTAAAGTATCATATTTTCCGATAACTACTATCATGCACCCTTTCCGAAGCATTGAACTAAATAAATTTTGTGCTTCTGTAACATTTAAAATCAGCAAAATTATATCAACAACAATCTATCCAAGAATGAACACGAAATTATATTACCATATAAACGCGTTTTGATTTTTAGGACGTTCAACCATATTTTCATGTTATTTTTTTAATTTTGTCTAAAACTATATGGAAATTTGGAAAAACGGGATTAAACCATTTTAGAACAAGCAAATATTTTTATGAAGAATGTATTTTTATCAAAATGTCAATGATAAAAAAGTTTTTCTTCTTGTAAAAACAATCCGGGGACATATTGTATATTCGCCAAATACGATATTATGATAAGGGTGCTTTCTACCTTTTAAAAAACAATATAGAAATTTGTATTGAAATTTTTTAACAATATGTACATTCACTGCATTCATAGCGGTATAGTTTTTGAGCCACTCTATACGTGTTTCGAGAATTGTCTGCGAGCGAAATCAATACTGAACAAAATTCGAGAACGTGGGCAACCACAAATACAGAATTTTCTAGAAATTGGCGGGAGAGAATTTTACTGCAATAACTGCTGAATGTAAATATTGATATTTGTTTTAAATTTTGTTTATGTAATTAAAATATATTTATAGTTTAATTCACATTATATTAACATTATAATTTTTATTTATTATTTAGTTAATTTAAATTTGATATGTAAAAAATCGGAAGTTTGTAATTTTAAATATTACAGTATTGATTTTGTAATTTTACAGTAACTTACAATATATTATTATTACAAAATAGATTTTGACTAATATATAGTATATTAAAAATATGAATTAACCAATAATGTAATTTACTATGTATACTTATTAAGATTGAAACAATTACATATTGTTTGCAAATAAACAACTCTTAAAACTCACAATTTAATCAACTGAATAATTATAAAAAACTATACTTAGCAAACAATCAATAACTTTAAAATAAAATTGGAGTTTCTACTTATTTTTGATTAGGTTTTTGAATAGACTCAAAAATAAAATATATGGATTTATCCGTCATAGTTTTATTTATATTAGCAAAAAGTTTTTAAATCTCGCTCTGAAAAAATATTCTAGAGAATTCTGTAAGGTGAGTTGCCTGCATTGACCGTTGAAAAACCGTTAGATGCTTCTCGAAATATACCAGGTAGCCCAAAAATAATACAGTTAATGTATTTTTATGGTATGTTCTAAGGTATGTTCAATGTAAACATAGAAGTATAGACACTTTAAAATTTTATTATAATAAATTCCATTATTAATCAGTACTAATAAATTAATTTTGTAGGAAATTTTGCCAGAGATATTTATACTAAACACAAACAAAAAAAAATTGAAACAAAAAAAAAACTTTTTATAGATACCTGCTAATACTTCTATAATAATTAAATTTCAGATCGCATAAATTATATAAATTTTCGAGAATTTTACTTGTTATATACAGGGTGACTATACTATATGAGGTTTCTTCGCGAAAAAAAATTGATCATTTGAATTTTTTTGAAAAAAATTTTGGAATTTTTTTTTAGTTTTTACTTAAAAAAAATAGAGTAGATTAAATTTACAAGAGAGAAAACCTAGAGAAAACTTTTTTTAATTTTCAAAGAAAATAAAAAAACTCGGTTATTTTGGACTTATTTGAAAAACGGTAAAGAGAAAATATATATTTTTTATCTAGATCTACAAGCCCTGAAAATATTTGCACTTTATATACGTATTTCTTTCATCATGGGGGTTGGGTGGGTATGGTTGGGTAGGTATAGGTATTTAGGTATACCAAACCAACCTATTTATGCAATACCATAGACTTAAAATAAAATATTTAAGTCTATGTGCAATACTAATCATGATTAATAAATTGAAAATACATATCTGCTATTCACTTAAATTATAAAAATAACAATATTCAAATAAGTCATTTTGTTTCATCTTTTATTTTTTCCGCTACGGTTTCATTTGGTAATTTTACCGTACGAAATGGGAGTACTTTGTTTTGTTTGAGCCACCCGATACTTATCTTGCGAATATTCCATAGATTTAGGAAGAACAGATATCACATTATGCATTTTAACCCGATCAAACATTCGGAGGTTGACCACGTACTGTAAAAATCAACTGAGATAGAGAAGGCGACATTGCCACATATCAAATTTGCACCTATCTACTTAGTTTGATTTGCAGAAAAGGTGACTTTAAAACCTTCACCGGATATCAATAAATCTCAATTTCTTAATTAAATTAATAGTTTATTTTTAAACAAGCATGCGTAAAATATGTTATTAACCAGAGGATATATGCGTTACTATTAAAAAAAATAGTGCTGAAACGTCTAGAACTATTGGCAACGTCGCTGCTAGTCTTCCAGAATGAAATGAGCCGTCCGTCCCACCACCCCTCGCGACGGCCCACTACCCATGGTCAGCGTACTACGTTTAGCTTACGGTGTGTTTGAAGTCGGAATCAAGTCCGAAGTGAACTTTTCAGTGTTTTTCAGTAGTTTTTGTTTTTGTTTAATGTACTTTTGAATCTGCGAATTTTCAATATGGTACAATAACAGTGTCAAATGTGTGGACAAATAAACTCAAATTACCCGAATTTGTCTTTTCACAGGTAGGTATTGTTTCCGCCGCGCCGTAATCGTACATAGGCGTCCCACAAGGGAGCCTCTCACAATTAAAATAATTTCTAATTATATTTGTTGAATTTTGATCTATTAAAACAAGAACGTAGTAGCCGGTAATTGAATTATAATTCGTCTCAATTACTACCTAACTGATGTAGATCATAACAAATTTGAATATAAACGTTACATTTGAAACTTTATTATAAGCCAGAAAGTGACATTTTTTTCTTAAAATTGCGTCGTATTTTAGTCATTATATACGATATTCTAAAGGAATTTTGCTCAACAAATAAACAAAGGTGTTTACCCGACCTTTTTTACATTTTATTGCTTTATTATATCTGCCCCTTCGGCCTTGTTTAGACAATTTTTACCACCGTACAAATACATCTTCCTAGAGTTATTTGTACGGTGTGTTTAACTTTTTTTAGAATGGGACGAACTGTAAATAATTCTTAGGCTACTAGTTTTATACATACCTATATAGAGAGTGACCCAGGCCTCCAAAAAAGCTTTTTACCTATTACGTTTTTGGTTTTTGATTTTTATTTCTTTTTTTTACATAAGATGGGGGCCATTGTAACGCACATTTTCAAAATATTTTTGTCAACATACAGGGTGATTCAAACCGCAATACATATGCTTAATACAGTTCATGAAGATTAGGACATTTAACTAAAATTTGATTATCTGATGAAGCTACCTTTAAAAGTAAAGGATTTGTAAATAAACGTAATAGGTACTTATTATTATGCGACAGAAATCCCATACTGTAGCACACAGATTTGATACTTTTAATGATAAATGCCTTCTATTGCGAGACTAAAAGGCAATTGCCTCGTATCAGAGCCATCATAATATAAGAAGAAGACCGAAAGTCAAATCTTGTCTTATTTTTCAAAAAAAAACACAATTTTCTCATTAAATATTGATTTTAGGTATAGGAAGTTATTAATAATACAAGATTAAACAACTATTACACAGTACTTCACAGGAAGCTATCGATTGCGAACTAACTAAATCGTTACTAATTGGGTACTAATTTTGAAAAGTTCTTTTTAAGATAAAAAAAGGTAAAACTAAAACCTAAACTATCATTTGAGATTAAACGGGAAGTTCTAAATAATGTTGCCTATTCTAAACAAGAAAAATGTATTTATAAGTTAAGTTTTATAACATTCCTAATTAAATTTGGGCGAAAAGAATATTTCTGTTTGCTGTAGGTAATTTTCTCAGGGAAAATGCGTAAATAAAAATGACTTTTTAAGTCAAAAAAAGTCAAAAGGACAAGTTATTCCTAAAAAGGACTGTCCTTTTCAAAAAAGGACAAGTGGCAACCCTAGGTATTTCTGGAATGGAAATTTAATGGCAAATCTACAACTTTGGTTTGAAAATATGTTCCGGCCACATATGTTTACAAAAATGTCTAATATGTGCCTAAATGCCTCCATATTCTGAAAAAAAAATTGAAAGAAAAGTCACCAACCACAAACCTAATATAGAACTGTTTCGGAAGCCTGAGTCACCCTGTAAATATTCAAAAGTAACTGAAAGTTTAAATTGAAAATCGACGTTGGAGTGATTTTCGAAAACTACTAACG